ATGAAGACTTTGATCATAATACAATGACCAAGACTTAATTAGGTCTTTTGTTAGTGTCACTACAAGAAAATTCACATTTAGTGACTAAATTATTAGTCATTAAATCTTTATTTTTTATCACAGGCTAAAATTAGTGATGAAATTTAAATCATTAGTAAAATCCTTGTCACATTAGTGACGAATTTAGCATCTGTCATAGAAAAGAATTTTATGGTGATAAAAAAAATTTACATTATTAATGAGTTATTTGTAACAAATGTACTCATCACAAAAAATTTTTTTTGTTACAATAATTTTCATCACAAATGTTACAATTAAGTGACAAAAAAGTCACAAACGCAATTGTAACAAAAAAAATAGTCATTAATTATTAAAATTGATATTAAATCAAAAAAGATATTTATATAATTACAACATAAATAGGGTAACAAAAATTCTGTCACAAAAAAATGGATATATATATATATATTTGTCACAAAAGTTTAATAAAAAAATATTATTATTTCAATACTAATAAATTTTGATTAAAATTAATTAAGTCCGATTAAAATTTGAGCTTCACATTATATTGCTCAAATAGAGCTCAAATAAATAAAATTAACACAAGTGTCAATCAATTAGTTTGCATATAGTCACTAGTTTTATAGTGTAAAACTTTATTTTCTTAAATATTTCTCACCGATGTGGAATATATTTATAATGCAACACTTTATTTTTTTTACGTATTATTTTATGGATGTATGATGTATTAATTAAAGAAAACTTAAATAAGATTGAACTTTTTTCTTGAGATATATAATAACTATAAGGCACAAGAAATAACGCAGTAAATTGTAATTATTTACCTTTGTAAATTGCTGTTTCATTTTGGAAGAAATCTAGTTCCATAATTTTTTTTATCAATATAAAGATTTGCCATAATTTTAAAAAAGATTATTGGATATTTTTATTGGTTAAAGGGTCTAGCGGAGACATCGATTCGTATTAGAATGTGAATTGGGTCTTGTGTGGTAGGACTTTTGATGTGGGCCTTCTGTGAACTTGGATTAGTACTACCATTGATATTGAAATTTAGTGTGCACCTTCAAAACTATCATTTAGCGTGCATCTGGGTAATTTGACGTGGGGTCTTCCATGGACTTGGATTAGTATTATTGGTAGTAGAATTTGGGGTGGGTCTGGTTCATTTAAGGTGGGGGCTTCAAACTTCAAAGTCGTCATTTGGGTGTTTCTGGGTCATTTGACATTGGCTCTTCTGTGGACTTAGATTAGTATCGGCGTTTGACGATTACTCTCCTTTATTACTGACTGACAACGAAGCCCAGTTCATTTAGATAATATTATAGATTTGTGATGAGTTTTAGTGATGAATTTTATTATTAAAATTTTATATTTTATTTGTAACTGTTTTTTAGTGACAAAATATCGCTTTAATACTAAATTTTTTATTATCATTGAACATGTAAATATTTGTGATCAAAAGTTTAAATCTATCAAAATTATGATGAGTTTTAGTGATGGTTTTCATCATCATAAGTATGTATTTTTTTTGTGATAATTTTTAATGATGAAATATATTTTTAATGATAAATTATTTAGTCATCATTAAATGTAGAGATATATGTGATTATTATTTGAAATTTGTATTAATTGGGATGAGTTATAATAATGATTTTTATTGTTACAAACTTATTTTTTATTTATGATAATTTTTTAGTAATGAAATATTTTTTTAATGGCAAATTTTTTTATCATTATTGAACATACATGTGTGATTAATTTTTTAAATATGTCATAAATATAATGAATTATAGTATTAATTTTAACATTTATTAAAATAATTTATCACTAAAAATCTCATTTCTTGTATTGTGTGAAAACTTCTCTCTTGTTGGTTAGATCAAATCAAAACAAGGTATGCAGAAAAATGAAAGAAGGTTGTTTTCTCATGAGTTACATTTACAAAATGTCAATGACGTGGGTCTCTAAGGCCCCGTTTGGTATAGTGATTTTAGGGTGGCGGTTAATGGTTTTACTTAGATCACTAAATATAGTTGTTTGGTAAATTTACATATTTCGAAACCGGTATAAATAAAATGTTTGGTAAAATTTTTATTTAGCGGTTTGAGACTAGCGGATAGCGGTTAGAGTCCAAACTGCTAGCGAATTGAAAAAGTTAATTTATGTAACTTTTTGTACCGAACCGCTAACGAATTAAAATTTTTTAATTTTATTTACAAATTTATCCATTTTAATTTTTTAATTT